CCATGTATGTGCTCTAAATGGGGCAGCCCTTGCCAAAGAGACCTGGTAGCTGACGTGGATGGGACAAAGGAGGGAAAGAGAGAGGACGAGGGGAGGATTCTCGCTATTTTGTGGATAGGAAACTGAGACACAAAAGTGTTAGCCGTGACCTGTAGCTGAGGTGGGAATTCACCCATGTATCTGTCTCTGTCTTCTACAGCATCCTCTCCATTTGTCTTCCTTTTTAGTCCAGATGGAGTGACTCGTGTTGTGGTGAAATTGACTTTTCAGAATTTTAAAATTGCTTTAAAAAGGCTATTTTAGGAGCATTCGGGAATAGGAGGAACTGGTAAAACAGAGGTATCTGATACAGAGTAGCCTGATGCCTGTGTAATGATAGGATGCAGATCAAAAGATTACTTAATATGGGATTTAGAAAACATTTTTATGGCAGTGTAAGAATATATCCATAGCAGATGTGGAAGGGGGTAGGATTAGGCTGATCTTTCATTAGCTACTGCTAAATCCTGTTGTCTCTAAAAGCTAAAATCCAGCTGGTGAAGTCTGGAGAGGTCCTTCTGTGGGGTTGAGGGAGGCTGCGGGGTACATACTGCGATCAGCAGGCACTTGTTTGTCCTTCCCTGGATCTAGTTGCCTGGCCTAAGGACTTGCAAAGCGTGCTGTGCGGCAGGGTGGCTGCTTCAGCACGTGCAGACACTGAGGCCCATGGACCTGCCCCTTGCTGGGTGCTGGGGAGGCGCTGGGGGCTGCCGGGGGTAGCGATGGTGCATTTGTTCCCCCAAAGGCCTATCGTAACCAGTAATCAAATTGCAATTCATATTTTCCCTGTAGATTCAGAATACAACAGTAAAAGGGCATTAAACAGTCGTGCCTTCGGTGAGCCGTGCTGCTTCCCAGCTTTGCCGGGGCTGGACAGCGTCGCCTTCCCTCTCCCTTCTTGTTTTAGAGCAAGGCAGGATGCAATCTGGCCGATGGAGGTGTCCGCCGAGGGGCAGGGCTGGGGAAAGGGGATTTGCCTGGTGGCTCKTCCAGGTTAAGCTGGAATGATATGTAATAGTGTGGGGCTGGTGTGTAATAGCGTGGGGCTGGTTGCATTCAGTAATTAGTATTAATTTATTTTTATTAAACATATTTCCAATAGAAAACAGACTTCAGGCATGATTTCGGACAAAGTATAATCCACCATCTGATCTGCTCAAAAATTCCTGCTGCATGTTTAAAATCTGAGGACGTGGTGGCCAAAAGCTATATGAAACATCCTGTTGTTTATTGGTATTTTTTAACCTATATCTCAACAACACTAATTATAACCTTAAATATTTGTGTGAATATATAAATACCAAATTGTTTTTCCTTACACTGAAAAAAGAACCTTGAAGAGCTTAAGATCCTTAATGAATCTTTTAACATGCAATATGTTTCAGTTTGAAAATACTGTCTTCCCTCATTATTTTTTTCTAGAAGAAAAATAAAGATTTGGCTTTGGTTGCTTTTGTATTTCTATAACAAATAATTTTCTTAATTTTAACTCATCTTTGAGTAGAGGAGTTTTTCCTCAAATAACAAGCAGRAGTAGCTATTGGAACAAGATCATCTTTTATTAGCAAGGCAAGGTTTGAATCACATAATATGCAAAAGAAGGGAGGAGGAAATACATTTGTGGGGAAAAGYCATCAAGCTGCCAGGCACTCTTTGAAAAAGAGGCATGTGCATATTAGGAACAAGATATTGTTAATTTATATTCCTGCTTGTTGGGAGAAAAAAAGGTTATCAGTAGAAATGATTATATGATTTATCCTCTCTGTGCTTTTATTAGACTTATAGGAAAATGTACTTATTACCAACTTTTACCGTCTCTTGTAATAAATTTGCATTTTAATAGAACAGAGTGCTTAAAAAGTCAGAGGGTGAGCTGTATAGAGGTAGCGCTTTGGCATCACTGTTCTCATGAGCGAATGAAGACCGACAACCGCTGCGCGCAGGCAGTGCTCTTCTGAAGAAGAATATAAGCCATGGTAAACAAAAATGAATCCAGGCCTGCAGGGCCTAATGAAAAAATAATCCTCTTGAGAGGAAAGATCATTATGCACCACCATACTAAAGTTGCCATCTACTATCCTGACAGTTCTGGAGCTGCTGGACTCCGGGATTTATGTCCACGTGCATTGAATCAGGCTGCATATTTCCTTGGTACTGTCAGGGCAACCTGATCTGCCCTATAATCTTTCTTACTTTCTGGTTGTTAAAATATCAGCTCTTTGCATAATTTAAGCGGGGTTATATAGCTCTCTTCTAACACATGAGGACAGCAGGACAGATTACGGTAATATTTCCCCTTGGCAAATGAAAGGTAAGGGAGTTGCAGTTTCATTAAAATGCTGATAAGCTGCTATGGGGGAGAGTCCTGCTCTCTGTTCCCTGCCCACATGCTCCTTCCCCCGGCTTTTGTCGGAGGGCTGGAGAGCAGGTGGCTGCACAGGCTGCATCTGCAGTTAGMGCAGAGTGGCATCATTTCCGCAAGAAATTGAGAGAGGGAAAAAGAGTTAGGGGAAAAAGAGTTAAATCTGATATAGCTTGAACAGATATAGCCTGCAGCATCTCAGTTTAAGAAGCAAATGTGGACATGTTTCTTAGTTAAGCAAAATATTTCTTAAAAAATTAATAGTACAAGTTTAAATAAGTATGTATAATGTATATGTAAAAGGATACTTAACAGTAGGAATTTAAATATACTGTGGTTCTAGAATGTTGATTATACACATATTGAAAGAATTSCATTTCCCTTCCTCTAAAATCTCTATTGGAGTCTCTTGATGATATCTCAGCTTCTAGCTAACCTTTCAGAGCACGTCGGCCCACTTCTGCTGCCAGCACTGGGGCTCGGATAAAATAGATGCTGAATAGCAGTGAACAGTTGTAAAATTGTGTCTCTCAAATCACACTAGGATTTTTTTTCTGGCACTTTTTTTTTTTTTTTTTTTTTTTTGGGATTCCAGTGGCTTTCAGCATAGTACTGATTTGAAAGTATTTAACCATTTTGAGAACACTAGTTTATCTTTCTTTCGTTTTATGTGTCTTAATAATTATGGCTGAGCAAATGTCAGAGGGAAGAGTTCTTTTCAAGTAAAATTTCAGGCACTGAATTGTAATGTTTACTCTATAATCTCCATAGTATTTTAAAATTTTCTGTAGATTTTGCAGTTGCAAATGTTAAGGTTTTCTCTGTAGCACTGTATTATGCGGAGAGAGAAAAAACATGTGAATAAAGCTTAATTGCAGGCAGTATTTCCCAGATTTAAGTAGCGTGACAGACAACAGTAAAATAGACTCTCCTAAATAGTAGCCTTTAAATGGACACTGCTACAGGTAATAATTGCTGAATTCTAATTATATATTTCTTCAGTGCAAGGTATGCATTTGTTTTGGGTATAGTATTCATCAAAAAAATTGTTATAATTGTACTAAAAAAAAAAGTTTTGTAAACTTTTAAGTCTTAAAACTGGATTCAAAAGTTACAGTGCTGAGGCAGGTAGTGAATAATACGAATCAAGCATGTAAAACAGAAACAAGGAAGCTGCCGTGATCTTTGTGCTTTTTCTTGCTGACCTAGTCGAGAAATTCAGACCACTACAACCAAGATCATGGAATAAGTGATTCTAAGTCTTAACTTCTGCTTGAACAGGCCCCTCTAACATACCTGCTTATCCAGCTTGATAACTTTGGTAGGCCCCTTCTTTATTCACTAATTGAAATACACTAAAATAAAATAGTTACTCTGGGCTTGAGAAAAGCAGCAGATAAGACAAAATCCATTCCTTATGCCAGGTTTTATTTCAACTGGAGATGCTACTCCAGATGGTAACTGGGAAGAATATCCTGGCTCAGGCTGTCTTCCGTGGCATAGCTGGCAGGGTCAGGCTTAGTCTTTGCAGAGAGAGATCTACACTTTTCTTGGAAGTGGGAATCTGGAATATCTGTTGCCTTGCATGTGTTTCTGTGTTTTAAAAAAAAAAAAAAAAAAAAGGAATTCTGCAGTGCCATCTTGCAGCCTTCCTGTAGCACATAGAAAAACTCTGGATAATCTTTTTGCACTTGTGTAGCAACTCAGCCACCATCCATCAAGTGGTTAAAAAAATAAGTTGTGTTTCATCCAGAACTCCTGGAAGGAAAAACAACCACCTGCTGCCCATTTCCTCAGGTTAAACAATCAAATTCAAGGCAAATGCTTCATGAAGTAGAGTAATARCTGTATCAGAGCTCTCAACAATATTGTATGAAAAGGAGAAACTTCAGAAATACTTGTAGGTAGAGGCACTTGTAAGCAGCCCAGCTTTTGCATCCCAAGACTAAAAGGCTACAAAGAGCACACATTTCTATAATCAAAAGTAAGCAGATGCTTCAGCATTTGCAAGAACATGAGGAGTTGGAAAAGGATGCGCTTGACTTCTGTATTTATTCTTTATTTTTCAATCAAGATCCACTAATTTAAACTCCTGTCACAGGACAAGGTGTGATGCACATACTTACAGCCCTCAGCCTGGAGGGTTCTGTGTTACTGTACAGTAGCTGAAGAAAACATCAAGCACTAAAAATGCACCATTCTGATACAAATCAACTTACCAAGTAAACAGCACAACCAAAAACTCTGACCTACTTATAGCAGAATACTAGGTACTGGATTAACGCTCTAGACTTCTAATTGATCCTAGTATGTCTCATCCTCTTGATTTTAGCTGAGTGGGCTACTTTTCTAATTTAAACTAGCAGCTGTCCAATATTAACACTACTTAGTGTTGATTCTTGTGCAGCTGTCCATCTAGCTGCCTGTGTTGTAATTGTAAATATTTCAAGAGTAGATTCAGAAATATTCAAGAACATCTTTAAGCCCAATATGCTTTTATTTGTGAATGTTGAAAAAAAYATACAGAACTCAAATTTAAATTTAGAAAACTAAAAACATATCCTACTGTTTATTTTTTTCATGCAAAAAGTACAGAACAGTAGTTATTGCAGTTCAAGACATCCACAAAACTCTCCATAAAAACTACAGTCATCAGGATTTAACAGCTTTACTTAAACAGGAATCCCAAAATGTGACATGCACATATCAAAAACATTTTAAGATGATAGCATGTGTGGCTTCTCAATTTCTCATCAATAGTTCCTCTCTAGGGATCTCATAAGTGTCAGCACACCATAAAGTCTTGCTGTTACAGCATCTCCTTTTGAAACAGCTGAAATTCAAACCAAACCATATTTTTCTCAGTAGTAGAAGCCAAACTTAGAACTTCTCTCTAAAGAAAGACACAATATGTGCCTTTCAAAAAGAACCATATTAAGACCATGTGCTAGTAGAGTAAGTTGCAGACTAGTCCCCGACCTGTTTTCCAAAACGTAACAGAAAAGTGTATTAATAAACAAAGAAGGAGATAGCAATTTAAGATCTGCAGAGTCCACACAAACTTAGATATGCCTTTATTACTCAAAAAGGGTTCTTCCTGCTTTAGTTTTCACTACACATAAACAGAAATGGACTTCAAACTTGACTCTTAGTTATCTAAAAGACTGTGGAAAAATTCGAAAACTGAGACAGACAAAGCCCAGCTGACTGTTTTACACGTTGTTACAGGACCTTCAAAGCACAAATCTCATCAGTAGGGATGGTAACGACGCCCAGGGTTATAGGAGTTGTAGCCATACTGTCCATAATGGGAAGAATAAGATTGTCCTTGTCTGTGCTGCTGGTAGTTATTACCCCAGCTTCTTTCTGGTCTCTGATTAAATCTGTGGTCACCTTGCCAGTTGTATCTGTCCCCTCTGAAGTATCTGCCATCCTGAAACCTGTAATGAAAAGAAGCATCTCAAAGTTTTGCACAAACAAGAGATTTTAAAAGATGAACGTCTACATGTTTCCACAAGAACTGTCACCAACTACTTAAAGACTCTATTATTGTTTTTATAACTGATAAAAATATATCTATAATAATCTGAGATCGTCTGTTCATTTCTTACTATTGCCCAACGTTTCATTCACTGAGCAGGGAAGGACAGAGTGCTTCTTAGATGAAATCCTGGAACTCTGAGTAAAGACTCTGAGAGACCTTACCTAAAAAGCGGTCAGATAGTCTAGTTCTACAGAGAGCTAAATCCAAGAGTTCAATCTAGTCTCCCTGCTAATCTTTGAAAGCTGTGGCAAGGTTTAAGCACAACTTAGCTATCAAACAGCCTGAGGTCTTGAAAACTGGATATTCTTTAAAACACACGCCACTGTTCTCATGGTTTCTTAGTAATGATCAGGTGCAAGCACGTAACTAAGATACATTTGAGAAGTTGCTTATGGCATTTAMTGTTTTTTAAATCTTTTCCCTGCTTTTTAGTGGAAACTGTTTCTTTTCAATATAGAAGCCTATGCAGTAACAAACAACTTCTATTAGCATTTACTTAGCATATCACTTCTCTGTTTTGAAATACACCTAACCATGTATTTGTGAAACTACTAAGAGCTGTAAAAAAGTAAATAAAAATAAAACAGTACCGATCTCTGTTTCTGTTMCCACCCGATCTATTTCTCCACTCTTCAACTATGGGCGGTGGATCCGTAGGGCGTTTCAGGTACTCCTGGTATTCCTTATCCTCTAGCGTAAAGCGATGAGCAAACATCGTTTCATAATTCACAGGCATGTCAGCTGAAGAAGCCATCCTGAAAAAAATAAACATGGAATACAACAGAAATACTTTAGCGTGTATGATGACTTTCCCTATAATAGTTATCAAAATCTACTTATGGCAAGTCAAGGATAATGAAATGCTGCACTCTGATTAACACAGTAGTTGAGTTTTGGGCTAACGATAAAGATGTCCRACTCTTAATTTATGCTCTAAGCCTGCTAATACAAACAAAATGCCCTCCGTTGTCTCAGTTTCCCTGAAAMGGTCATTCCTGCCAGAAAGCAATTCCAGTTCTTCCAACATCCAGTCTTTGACAAATGTACTGGATGTACTCAATGTTTTTGAGGGACTGCATCTACACTGGAGAAATCAGACTGAGACAACGAAGTTTGAGTTTGCCGAGAGGGGATCTCACCCAAACCCTGCAGATACATGTAGCCGGCGAGGCGAGGCGAGGCGAGGCACTCAGTTTATTTGGCAGCTCATGCTGCCGAGCGGGCCTCGCTGCCAGCGCGCGCGGGTCTCTCACGAGCCGTGACCAACCCGAGCGCCGCGTCCCCCGCCCCGGCTCCTCGCGCTCCCTCCCGGGGCCGCCGCCAACGACGGAGCCTCTGCCCCGTGGGAGGCGCCGCGCGTGGGGAGGGGACAGAGGAGGACAAAACGGAGCCCGGACCCACCGCCCGTGCCGACCTGGTCGCCGCCGTCACCCTGTGTCGCCGAAACCTTCCTGTTCCGGGGCGGGCGCGCGCCGCTTCCGCCGGCCTCGCCCCGCGGGCTCGGGGCGGTCGCGGCCGGTTCGGGGCGGTCCCCGGCGGGCCGCGTGTCCGCGCACGACGCCACGCGGGCCGCGCTGTTGCTGGCCGTGCGCGGCGGCCCCCGTGGCGCCCAAGCTCTTGGGAGGGCGGGTGATGGCAGCCGCCGTTCGTGGCGTTGGGCTCGGAGCTTTGCCCCCTGCTTCCAGAGGGATGGAGACATGGAGACCTTCCTGCAGAGGAAGCACAGCTCATGTCTCTGCTTCCCTCGTTCCCACACCCTTCATGAGTATTTTCATCGCCATTTTCTGCAATTCCTGAGCAAAATAACTTAGAAAAAAGTTTTCTCATGCACTATGTAAGAAATTATTTTCTTTTGCAACCTTTTCAGAAAACAGTGTATCTTTTCAAGTTTTACAAGTTGAGGGACCTGGAGCTGGCCATGCTGTGCTACAGCCTCCTTGCTGTCTGCAGACACTAGCAAAGCTTAGAGACTAATAACCAAATATGTTGCCTAAAGCAAAGYACCCCAGCAGCAGCGCTCCTGGCATCCCGTCCTCCAAATATATTAGACCAAGACAAGGACTCTTCATTTGACATAAACAGACATAATTAAATTTTACTGTCTGGCATGACCTGCCTCGATCTAAAAGAGCCCAATGCAAATATCTTAGCCCGGAGTATTTAGTTATAAATCAAACAATTTGTTATAAAGATTGAAAAAAATAATATATTTTAGCTTAAGTTTTTCTCATATAATCCCTGTCCTAGTGACTACCCTTCGAAAATGGTCAGAAATAAATAAGGATTTTATTTCTTTCTTGATCTCTCGTTTTGGCCTCTGTATATTACAGGTTCACTTGTGTCTGCAGGGGATTTCATGCATAAAATTCATGAGTGRTCCTTAATAAAAGGGAGATCTTTATAGAGCTTTTAGGCTGCTGTTTCATGAATGAAATATTTTTCATTAAAAGTCAAGACTTATTTTAATAATAAACTTTTAATTATAGACCTGAATCATTCATTCATTTAAATAGACGCATAATCTGCGCATATATATAATGCTTTTGAAGGCACAGGTATAGTGTAAACACTTTGAGCAGTATTCTGCACAAATGACCATTTTGCTGGCAGTTATGATTTAGAAGAGCACTCACAGAGAATGCCTGAATCAGGATAGCAGATATATTAAAAATCTTGTGTTTTGAGCATTAGATCTTTTTTTCATACAGTATCTTTGTGCTCACTGTGGGTCAGAGCCTCAGTAAGGCACTAATAAGCCAGGTGGCATATTGCAAAGACTTGTAGATATTGTACTAAARTTCCAACTGCAGGTAAAAAACAGTCAAAGAGACAGGTGATTTTTAAAGAAATAAAGGTGTTTAGACGTAAATAACAGCACCAAGGAGGACTTTCAGCACTCCCTAAGTGTCTTTTGAATATTTGCAGGTGGTCATGTACTTAAAGGATCTCCCTGTGAGTGTTGTCAAGACTGAGGRCTTGATAGTCTGCTCTTGTAATCTTTCTCCTCTCTTCAGGCCTCTTCAGGTAATTAATATGTTGTTTTGGGGCAAACAAAATCTCATAATCAGCACCTCTGAAGTCTACTGTAGTGTGATAAAGCCTCAGAGTTTTTGCCTTTTTTCCCAGGAAATTTATTGTGTTAAATACAGTGCTTTTAGATTTTATATCCTGCAGATTTTAAACTAAGAACTGTTGTATTCAGCCTATCTGAAATTAGACACTTTTCTTTATAATTGGTATTGACAATGAACTGTTCTGTCACAAGGTTTTCTATTGGATGTTCTACACAAGTCCACAGCTTGTGGACTCGAGCATTTTCAATGTATTTGACTAATTAAAAAGAAAAGAAATTAGCTATTTTGTTTATGGACACTTTTTTGAAAATGGAATAAGTCTAAAGCCTTTTCCAAGAAACTAATAATGTTATTAAAGCCTACTGGTTTAAAATCATGTTTTTTTCTTTTTAAACAATTTTTCCTTCTTTGTGTGACTACATTCATTGTTTTATATCAGTTGAGGGTGATGGCTGTGACATTTTAAATGAAAAGTCAGCATGTATCTTGGTTCCAGGAAAAAGAGGGAACTACATTTGCTGTACATTTCTGTATCTTTAAACAGGAGGAATCCTTTTAATCAAATGTTAATATCTACCTTGAGAAATCAACTAAGGAACTAATACTTGTCTGTAATTTTCTTATGTCTGATTGGAGAAATATTGGTTTATATATGAGCAAGCAGAGAAAACTGCAGTTATTTTTGTGGCTCCTGCAGATTTTACAACAAAAAGATACATCTTATATGAGATATATACATTTTTGCTAAAACAGTATCTTTAAAACTCTGACTTTTTTTCCTTGCTGGCTGATGCTGTTCAGTGATTTCCTGTTAGCTGATTAGACCACTTTTTTTTTCTTTTATTTTTTCAGTTTCTCAATGATGTTGCAGGTGAAAGCCTGTTTTGTGTGTGCAATAAAAATTGACTTGTTCAGATAATTTTTTTTCTAGGAAACGGAGATGGCTGGCACTGCCAGGGAGACCAAGACTTTGTGTTCTGGCTGAGGGTGGGTACAAAGGGCGTGTGTGTTTTATGGATTACCTACTAAGAGAACATGTCCCATGAGGGGACATGTGAGTAACTAATGAGCATAAACTATTTGTTGTATCATTAGTTGTGCTGAGCAATAGATAAGCTGAGATACTCTTCAGGCAGTCTGTAGAAATATTTAAAGTTGGGCTCTTTAGGACTTCCTGTGCTTTACTGGATTAGTTCTTATTAGTGGGTATTACTCCTTTGGCTGGAAAGGATTGCTTGGATGAATCTCACTCACRTAGAGAGGAAGGAAGGTCAAGCAGCTGTTCCTGACAAATGTGCCCAAGGCATGTACTGTAATTCTGTCAGATCTGTCTTACCTGAGCCATTATCCTGTATTGTACAACATCACTGAAACACTTCAGAGTGGCTCTTCCATTGCTCYGTATTGTACTGTATAGTGAAGCCCGTAAAGGAACAGATCGCAGAWTCCTGCCAACTTCACTAAGTTAATACAAGAAAAGTTTCCTTCCCTTAATGACCTTAAATGTTAACTGCTAAAAAAACGAAAACAGAACATTGTTCTGTCTTGAAGAATGAGAAAGTCTAATTCATGGTGTTTGACTGTATTGCACAATATCTGTTTTGGTGCTGCAGGGCCCAGTAGCCTTACATTAAACTTACAACAGTAACTCTTGATTAGAAAGAATTTATTCCTAATTTATGCCAGTATGAAAGAAGGCCTTTAATTATCCAAAGAGCTCTTTATGTTATCAGTCTTTTAAATCATGCAGTCGCATTAAATTGTATTTCTGGCTTGTTGTTCTTAAAATCATTGCAGAGGTGATGTTATCGAACTATGATTTTTTTTATATATGTGTGTGTGTGTGTGTGCGCATATATATACACACACACATATATACAAATGAAAAATCAGTATATTCTAGCTGCCGTCTTTTATTTTCACCTTTTAAACTAAATAAGCCATCTGTGCCCTTTGGGGTCTATGAGAATTAATCATTTTTATTATTTTTGCTCTCTTAGACAGTAATTACAGGGTAGTATGCTGCCTTTGTTTTTGCTTTAATATTATGGTGCCATTTTCATCCATGGTGGAACACCACTGACTTCAGACTAGAAATGAATTTGTCCTCAGGAGACGTTTCCAAATGGTCGATACTTTCCTCATGACTACCCAGAGGAGCAACAAAGACGGCAAGACAGAGAGCCCTTTGTTACGGGGAATGTAGCCCAGAGGGGTCCCGTGTGCCGCTCGTGGTGCTCCGTGTGTTCCCCGCCTGGCACGGAGGCAGCTCCGGGCGTGCRGGGGCACACGTGCCGTGCCTGAGGGCAGATGGGGACCCCCACGTAGCACATCTGGTGCACAGGTTGTGCTCTTTCCTGGACGTAGGTGCTGCCCAAACAAATCAAAGTGAGATGAATATTCAGACGCTTAAAGCATAGTTCATGCAACTGCCTGAAAGTCAGAGAATGAAGTAGATAATTTTTAACTCATCGTGATTATCAAATTGTCCAAACTCCAGTTCAGCTGCTTGTTAGCTTTCAAGCAACTGTGTGCGAGGGGAGCTATGAGTCAATGCTATCATGGCTTTGCCTATTGTAAACATTCACAAAATATAAARGAGATACTCAAATTGCGGTATATCAGCAGAGCCCACAGCTGGGCAGAGTAGGGCTACACCACAGGCAGGTCTGACAGCCAGTATTGCCCCAGCCTGTGGGTGAAGATGAGCCTGGTCTGGGCAGTTAAAGCCTGTTAGTGCACTCAGGGCCCTGGCAGTTACACGTGGGAAAAAAAAATATTATGTTTATATCATAAGCTCGGATTCTTGCAGAACCTAGGATGTAGCAGGAGGAATTGCTTATGCCTTTGCAGTAAATGTCTAGCATTTTTCCTGCTTTTGATAGTTGATGCAGTGTGTTACGTGTCAGTCAGTTGCCTCAGATACAGAGAGAAATATTCAGCCTCTAAATAGGATACCCAGATGTCCCTATTTGTTCTCTGAGTTTCTCGATAACTACATTCTCCAGGCACTAGAGAGTTGGTCTGAATTTCCTAATGTGGAGCTGAGATATTTTCTCAAGGCCCCGCATTTGAGGAATTTGTCTCCCTTCTTCATTGCCTTCCCTTTGTCTGCATGCCTGGGAGACTTCTTGAAAGCTCCCCCTAGTTCCTCTTCAGCTAAAGGGTCCTTGTGAAAGCCAGAGCCACCTTTGCACCACTTCAAGCTTGAAGTGTCTTCTAAATCTGAAGCATTTAAAAAAGGCGAAACAGCTGAGACCCATATCCAATCCACATTAAGACCACACTGTGTTAAAGCTGGGTGTGATGTAAATCTATTCAGTGAAGAGAAGCCTGTAGGATTTTGTCAGGTTGGGCTGAAAAGCCGGCTCCCTGTTCTGGCCTTGTCTTGCTGCTGTGTACTCCCCTGCGCTTCCTCTGGTCAGCCCTTGTTCTGTACAGAACTGGGGAACTCTTAGAACAGATACGATCTTTTCATTTCATGTTTGTCCTGTGCTGGGGTTGGTGCCTGACTGGGTCTCTTTTTCATGGCCACTACTAATGGTAATAACTGTCTCTCCTGGTACTAAATTAGGATTGGAGATCATTCTTTCCAGTAGACAACAGTTCCTAATCCTTCAGGAGGCTGCTGTGCCTRTTACCCTTCTGCTTCCCCTTCCTCCCTTCCTGAGACTTCTAATGGGGCTGGCAAGGCACGTTGGCCTTGCCCAGTGCTTGGCTGCTCTAATTCTTTCTTAGTCTCTTGACTCCTGCTGCAGTGTCTTGTCCTGAAGCCTTTCCAGCTGCTGTTTCCACGTCCCTGCTTTTCTCACTCTATTTCACTCTCTCTTTACCACTGTATTGAGCTGTGGCTATTCCATTCTTATTCCCTCACAGCCAACAAGAGTGCTGTGCTGGCAACCCGGCTATCTTTGGGCTGACTTTGCTAGCCCTCAGCAGAGTGCAACTCTTRAATGTCCTTTGGATCCAGTGTGGAAGAGCATGTTTACTACAGAACAGAATACAAATTTTAAAAAATTTGCTATATGCAAAGTTCTGATGGAGGTGCATTAAAAACAAGTTGAGAACAGTACGTGTGTTTGTGAAAACACAAACTAAGTTTCAATGGATACTTCGTGGAATTTTTGTATCGAGCTGCTCATTCTAAGAAAAATAACAATTATTTTCACGGTCTTAAATGCTGCTGTGGGGGTATCGCAAACTTCCTGAGTAAAAACTTTAATTAAAAAGCCAACATTAATCTCTAAGCAGTATCATCCACAGCATATTGCAAGATAAGACTTTTCCAACCTGGAAAACTAGGCAAGATTCTAATTAAATCAGAGGGGAAAAAATGACGAGCTAAATATATGTTTTATTTAAGGATCACAGTTACATATGATATGAAAGATCTCACAATTACTGTCTGGTGGAAAATGCTGCGGCTAGATCTCTAAAGCTGTTTTATGTAAGATAAATCTTGGTTCTGCAGGTTCCAGGTGGGATTTTGATATTGTCTTCGGTGGGGTCAGGACTTTGTAGTGGCTCTGCATTTGACTAGGAAGCTGCTTCAGTCCCCCTGAAAGCTGTGCAGATGATCCGGTAATGAAGCAATGGATCAGGGTGTTATGAGCAAATGCCATATTGCTGCTGGTGCCATCTTTCCACTGAGCTACAAAAACAAAGTCCCACCTATTTATGGTTATTAGAGGTCACAGCTCACCTTTTGAAAAGTCAAGCTCTTAATCCCAGTATACTGGCCAAAATCTATTTTAGGTAGCTCCTCTCCTGCTATCAGCCTTTCCTGTATTGTTCCCATTGGGTATTGTATTGGCCCTCACATCCTGTTCCARACTGTGCTCTGCTCCTCTGTGCTGTCGAACGGTTAATATTTTCCGCAGACTCGTGCCCTGCAGTGATGTGTGGTCTGTGAAGTGATCTCTATATATCCCTCACTTGTCTCACGGGAGTGGAATGAAAATTCATCAATTATGGCTGAACCGTGATAGCACAGAAGTCAAAAGAAGTATCTTTCCRTTGGCATCACTGGCACCCAGTTTGCTTCTGTGCACGTGTTGCTGTTTTGAGATTCCTGCTCGTGAAAACAAAAATGCTTGTAAAAATATGCAGGGCATTGCCTTGCTGAAGGCGGTTGGTTTAGCAAGAATTCCTTTAGCTCCAGAGAAAAACACATTTTAAAGGCTCTTTCCTCAAGAGTATAACTGCTTTCACAACAGGCATTAYTGTGCATGAAGAAATTCCAGTTCTTTGAAGGCGACTTAAAGCACCTGGTTTTCATTCCCTGGCACTTGTGGCTTTGCATGTCCTCTGGATTCAAAAAAAGCCGTTGTTAGGCTTTCAGGGCTGGCTCCTGCTCTTTTCCCAATTCTGCTAATGGTGTGGAATTGTTATATCCTAAGGCAGGCTCTCAAAGGCATCAAGAATTCAGCTTTAAGTATTGGAAGCAAATTGAATAGTAAATAACAATACCTGCTGGTCATTTCCTTTGACCAAATGTTAATTCTTCTTGGCAAACAAACAGAGGGTCTAAAAAAAGAGCAACTCTGGCTAGATTTGTAAGATGTTGTGAAATGTTTTCCACTTAGCTCTTCTGTCATGTGCCATTTAAAATGCCACATTTCAAACTGTAAATCAACTTTCAAGGTGGATAAGAGAGTATCACTGAAAAACATTTTTGCAGGATCGCGTAACTGCTTCCGTGCAAATATAATAATAGTACATCTCTTGTGCAAACATAGGAAAGAGTGGTCATGGACTATTTTGGGAAAAGCGTACTCAGCAGATGGACATAGCAATAAAAGACAATATCCAGTCAGCCRCTGAGGAACAGAAGAGCTGCAGTAAATATTATTAAAGGTGAGTATGGATGAAGGTTAGTGTTTTCCTGTAGGAAAACTACCAAATTAAATTTAGAAAAATGTTGATACATACACAACATAAATCATGTGCTGTTCTGCAAGGGAACAGTAAATGAAAATCAGGRTACATGTCATCCATATTATACAATATTAAGTTAATTGCATTCTCTCRGGCTTGTATAAAAAGTTTTGATATGTGTATATAAATATTATTCCATTGGCCGTGGTTTATTTAAAGCTTTTGAAATGGTCCTCACCCACCTTCCAGCAAATCCTTTTGACTTAGAGTGAGTTCCATAGTGGCGTATTTGGTGCCACCTCCTGTGGTGTTGCATTTGATGCATTTGTTTAATTGGTACATAGCATTTGTTTGTTTTGCCATCCAGGTATTGTTGAAGAACAAAGTTAGATTAGGTAGAATTAGGAATGGAGAACCTCCCTCTGAGCTCGCTTTATTTAGGGAAGGAATTCATATTTAAGAGGGATCCAGAAAATTCTGCCCACAACGCTGCCCTTAGCAAGCCAAAGGGCATCCAAGCAAATGAATCAGAGCTCTGGCTTACCCATGGAAATGGCTGTTTTTTTTTTTCCAATAAAGCAGGCAAGGAGCTGATTGAGGGTCAAAGTCTGCTGGTAAGTTCTAAAGAAACACAAAGAATGAGTTATTTTGCATGAGTTGGGAGTATGAGTATGTATGTGTAGCCAAAGTAAACAYTTCAGGAATCTAGCATACCCTGAAAGGACTGGCCTAGCCACAGCCTCTCTCTCTTCTGATATGGAAGAGGAGGTGGGAATGGGGTTTCCTTTGGAGAGCCGGGAGTGGGGGGGCATTCCCTGGCGCGTCGGGGAGCTCGGGAGAAGGGTGTGAGGACAGAGGTCCCTGGCTCCACTCCCACGGGCAGTGGGGGATCACAGCAGGGCACCAGGCTTGGCCGCGGGGCCGCAGCCCTCCCCGTGCCCTGCCAGGGGAGCAGAGCGGGCGCAGACACGGCCGGGGTCCCGCCACGGCCCCCACCCCAGCACCAGGCACAGGGTCACGCGCTGCGAGCGTTGCAGCCGCTGCAGGGCAAGGGGCTCCTTAGAAAGGCAGCATCCAAGTGCCAGGCTGTGGTTGCTTGGAAATGCAATCCAACTTGGGTATTATTTTGAGCTGAGATTTTTTTTTTTTTTTTTTTTAATCCAAAATTCCATGTGACGGAAGAGATGGGTATTTAAACAGATGTCTGAAATTTCTTTAAAAAATAGAGATTGAGTTACAGATGGCAAAAAGGGTTTGGGAATTAAAACCTCCTGAGTTACAAGAAAATTTACATGTGAGCGAAATGGTTTGCTAAAATGAATGTCCCCGCAGTTCTCTGTGTTGAAAATYAAGCTTCTTTCACCAAAAAGGTGAATATCTTTTCCCTTCTATATTATCTGCTTCTCTACTGGCTGCCATCATCACCATCACAGCCAATCTGCAATATGAGAGTCCTATTTCTAACAGGCAAGGCATATAGTTTTTTTCCTTTCTCTCTTCCTTATACAGTCTGGCTTACTTGGACCAAATTTTTGGATTTGAATTGGTTGAAGAAGAAAAATAATCTATCCCATCTGCAGAACTGGCGCCCATTTACTCTAAGTTGCATTTTATAAATCACAAATGAAATTTGTGATATGCGGTGGGAACGAAGCCAGCATTATCATTTCTTTTTATGAATGAAGGGGATTTTATTTTTTTTCTAATTTTGTGGAAAAGAAAATGACCAAAATTTTGAGTGAAAAAGGCTAATAACTTGAGACATAAAATACAAAATGCTGTCTACTGGAAAGCAAAATTGGACATAAAATTGTATAAAAACTATATAAAACTATAATTTTAAGGAGCGATTCAGGATCTGTCTCATCAGCTGAGAGTCCTGTTCATTACTGTGAACAACTTTATGATGATCACTACTCGTACATATATGCTCAAAAAAGAAAGGATGTTTATGAAACATTAGCAGACTGCGCTGCAAGATGTAAGAACATTTTTTCATGCARTGCTCTCCCCCACAATGAGGAGCACCAGTGTGTGCATAGCAAAAACAATTCAAATTAGCATGAGTTCAGGGAAGAGCTGCAAGACCCATTAGGTGCAGAGAAAATCTGTCCTGCAAAGAGTGACTGAATTTACTTATTTTACAGTGGAGGGCACATCATCAAAGCGTCGACATCAAAAAATATATTAATGTATTAAGTATCTTTTTTCTGTACTTTATAATAATAATAATAATAATAATAATAATAATAATAATAATAATAATTATTCAGGTAAATAGACAAGTTTTCCTGCAGTGTGAGACCACCTTTACAGAAGGTTTGGTGGTTCACCTCTGGATGTGTTCCTGTCCCATTTTCTAGTAGACCAAAGTATGGAGGATGCCTGAAGAATCCATACTAATTTATTCATTAATGGTGACACATGTTGCCTGATTATAATAGTATTATTAGAAATTCATCAGCATATTACAAGTTTGCAGCCTCTTTCAGTGTGCTGTGTGCTTACAGTTCAGGATTGGGAGGCCTGTGTTGGCTGGTTGGGCATATTTTAGCTTTGCTGGCTTTGTTTGTATGTGTACACCTTTTCTCCCCAGAATCTTATTTTTGTTAGCTGTAATTATCTCTTCATTGAGAAGACAGTGCATACCATGGTGTGATGACAACAGTTCTTTACATTTAGATTAAAAGCTGCTTTGAACTGATATTTGCATATTTTACAGGACAACCTCTTTGAAAATGAGATGGAAACCACTCATATACCTTCTGTCACAATGCTAACACAGGAGCTCCATGAAAGTAAGTAATTATATATAAGAATAAAATACGAAGAATAATAAGAGAAGGTTCAACTTAAGCTTTTAATGACACTTAGAAATGGGCTTGTCTTTCTTACTTTTGCAGTCATAGCAGATAGTTGGGAATGGTTGCTCTGGGATGTTTGGTTTATATCTGGAGGACTGGTGGAGGAGAATTATTTTTACCTTAAAAATCACGTGAATGTGAAGGGTTTTTTTCTGTCTTGCAGGAGGACTTCTTGAAGGTGTCAGATGTTTCATGTGAGCGCCGACATTTTTATTGAAAGGACAAGAGGGTTTTTTAACAAATAGATCCTTTGTCCAAATTATTTATTATTGGATTAAGTAGGTTTTAACAACAGAAATAATAGAAAGTTCTCAACAGTCTAACTTAAATCCATTCTTTTTCTCAGTTCGTCTTTAGAAGTTTATATCCTGTGATATTATAATTACATTAATTCTCCAGCTGTCAAGGGATTTTAGAAACTGATTCTCCATTTCAGATGTAAAAATCAAGAATTCCCCAGAGCTTTTTTGGTTAAACTTCTGGATAACATCTAAAGCATGCAAATAGTTGGTTATTTGTCAAAGCAAAAAGTGGAAAATGGCACAGTTCTGCTATAGTAAAAAAAATGCAAATCTCATCATTCTAGTTTAAAGAAAAAAAAAGAGATCACAGTATTGAATATTTTATTTCAACTATCTGCCATGGGGAACAGTGAGAAAACAGTCTTGAGTTGTAACAGTCCAAGAAGACTAAACAGCAGTTCTTTTGAAATACAATTATATATAAAATGGAGTGRTAGAAGATGGCAGTAATGAAAGGCAAACAAAAGGAAAGAAAATAAACACGGAGAGATGGGAGAGACCAGCAAGCTCTTTCCTCTTCTGAATGCAGACTGCAGGCATCGACTTAGGTTGCCAGAGCAGTTCTCTGAAAAAGATATTCACCCTGTATCTAGGAACYAAAAATTACATCTTTAGGAGGTCCATGGGAACAGGAGAAATACTCATCTAAAGTAGTTACATCCATTTGCTGAATGCGGATATACTTATTGTTCAGCTTGAATCATGCTCAGGGATCCTGTGCCTTCAGCATTTTGAGTTTTGCTGAACCTTGCCACAGTAATAAAAGCATACTCGTGAGTACTAAATGAGGACTGAATTATTCCCATCCTCTACAGGAACCAAATCGGAAGTGAAATATTATGTTGCATGTGAAAGCTTAAGAGCTAATTAATTTTGACAGCGTATTTATAGTTCTCATTTACAGAGATCTTGAAATACTTTAAGAAAACRGAATACTAAAAATAGGTATCTATGAGATCTATATCCAAATTAGGATCTGTTTCATAATAGTGGAGAAATTCAATTTTGAATCATCCACAGAGCAAGCGCTTCATTCAATATTGATCATTTTAAACAGTTTGCATGAAATCTGGACCCTGTTCAAAGTCATGGGACTTTTGCCATTGACTTGAATGGGGAGAGGACTTTCTCCTCTGGCAAAGGCAGCGCCACACACACGGCTGGGAGGAAGGGACACCCTTATGGAAAGAGGCGGGGTATGAAAAAAACAGGATACTCAGGGGAAATCCAAATATGACCAGAAAGTGAGGCTTAATTTGCTCTCTCTTGGACAAAACATCTCAGGATACAGTGGAGGCAGAACTCAGTCTCCTCTAAAAGATGGTCCAAAAAGAGCATGAGCTGAGGGACAGGTGGAGCCAAGCAGTATCCAGGATGGTTTCTGTGTATGCATCACGGGAACACCGCTGCTACTGGGATAAGCTTAACCATAAGCACAACCCTTTTTTTGGTAACTGGAGATGAAAATGCACTCTTTAATACAAGCTTGGAAAAGACTGGAGCACTAGAAAACAAACACCAGGAAAATTGCAATTTTATTTTCCAGTTTCACTGTTCTCACAAAGCTTGTAGGACATTACTCCATTTTGATCCGATTCAGTTACATAGTTTACAGCACTGGTTCATAAAACACCATTTTCTAATAACCACAAAAATGAACTAATTAATCAGTGAGGACTAAGTGTCTATCCCATAGAAGGAATTGGCCTGTAAGTCAGCAAAATTAAGTGAATGTTGTAAAAAGGTGAGATAGAACCATCCAGTTTATGTTGGGAATTCTTCCACCAGATTGTCACACTGCTTTTTTTCTCCCATAGGGAAAAGTAGCCCTCACAGCTTTCCCAATAGGTTGTATCGAGATGCGCTCAAGGCTAGGATCAGCATGAGTGTGAAAGGATTAGCACTTTGGCCGTGGTTCTCTAGGAAGAAACAGGAGCTCGGCTGGCYGAAGGGGACACGCAGAGCCTGTAGATGACAGCGATTAGGTGAGCGGTTACATTTCCCTGCACAGCCCATGGCGGCCGTTTGGCCGTATGTGTAATTAGCCTTGCACAGAGAGCAAGTCTGTTGGAGAGATGCCGGTCCCCGCTCAGACTGAGCTGGTTGTTTAACTTAACAGCCCTCTGAAAATGTGTTTGTAATTTGTTGTGCTTTTCCCCCGGTGTGTGGACTTTACTTGGGCATGTGGTGTTGAGATCCCATTTTGGTCTTCTAGACACCAGGAAATAGGTGACTATTAGAGTGGGAGAATAAATGACAGCCTTATTTTCTGCAATAGAAAAGTGTTAGGTTGCTGGGAAAGTTTTCCTTCTGTGTTGGTTCTCCAGAGATCCCAATGTAATACCAAAGATAACCCCATTTATTACACAGAAAAAAAAAATGAGGAAAGAAAACATTAATCTTTTCCCACATTTTAAAAACTTTTTTGAGAAAGGCTGAATCAACTTGTGAAAATGAAAATAATCACTCTTGATGGCAGTATATTAATTATAAACTTGTGTGGGTGAGGAAGTTAAAATCCTCACACGTGCGGATTGGGCATCTGTCCCCAGCAGGGGAGTGTGTTGGGGAGAGACCCCTGAATTCCAGAGCTAGCGGCTTCCCTGGCGATCAGTGCCCTGTGCCTGCACCTGGGTGAGGTTTCCGTGCCCGCTGAAGCCGCTGCTGTCGGGCACCCCGTGGCACGGCCGTTCCGTGGGTGCAGCGTTGCCTCCCGTGGAATCCGCCTGTCGCTTATTTCCACGCAGCCTGGCTGGGAACAGCCGCTGTGACACGAGCCGCGTGTGCGGGGCCGCTGCACGGGGAAGGAGGCTCGGCACCCGCTGGGGCTGCTGGCACCGTCCTGCGCCGGGACCGGGACCGGGGCAGGTGCCGAGGCCGCGCCGGAGCTGCCCGGCGCGGCAGCAAGAGCGGGCCGGGCACGAGGAGCCCGGGGGGGCGCTCCCGGCGCGGGGGCTCCGCGCCCCGAAGTTCACGCGAAGTTTCCTGGGCGCCGGTTGCGCCCAGCGGGGCCCTCCCGCCGGCGGGGGCGG